TCCATTGCTAAGGCCTGCTTACTGCCATCCTTAATAGCGTCTTCCGCGAGAATGATGGAGTCTTGTTCAGCGAAACACCGCTTGATAGCGTCACCGAAACTCTTACAATCTCGAACTTTTCCTGAAAACATAAAAATACTGCAAAACTAGTTTTACAACTTTTGTGGGAAAATGTGCACATGATTAACTATATGTTTGGTGGGAAATTTGAGTAGATTCTTATGGGCTTGCGTACACTTCTACCCGAAATTTTATGATCGATATTCCAACACTTCCATAGAGTATTACCATATTGCCGTTTGAGATCATAAACGGCTTTCAAGACAGCGTTGCCGAGGTAAGTCTGAAGGTACTTACTAGCATCTGAATAAATGAATTTACTCTTTTACATCTACTACTATCACCTTCTCCACTGTGACCATCATAAATAGCCCCAACGAGGCCCGACACGACACATGGACATGTACCGGCATTGTAGAACACGCCTGAGACGAACCAACTGATAAACGGTTTGCCGTATAGTGCATCGCGAAATATGAAATCGTACTACGAATACCTCGGTCAAACTGGATGAACAATGGTGACATGCTGGATCCTTGATGAGATGATGAAATCTTTTTACTATCTATTCAAGCGATCTAAGGAAACTGAGGTCGTGCTATCAACGATACCTAGTTCTAACGCCTCGGAACATCAACTGCACATACACACACATTGAGTTTCAACTATGGAGTTTCACGAGCCGTGATATGAAAAACACTAGTGGAAAAATATACTTCACTATATTTTAATATATTTCACAAATATATTGCACAAAAACTACTGTATCGCGCGAATATCAAGTTGTTCACCGAGTATTACTCCACTTCTCATAAAACGGGTGAAACTCATATGTTCCCGAACAGACTCACATTCCTCTTGCGCTCGACAGAAGTGAACAGCGGCTCTGTCTTCCTGATAGTTCCTGCTACCTTGCTCCTGGTGCCCACCGATACTCAGTGTCATTCGGGACCCACATGGAATTCTCGCTGAGACAATGCGAGCACACTCTACTCCCGTGTGGGAAAATATGCACATGTGCTGCCGAAAATATAAAAATTTTCGCGAAAATATCATTGGTTTTTATACACTGTATGAGCTCCTATGATTATTAAGGAACCTCCTGTGCTGAGTTGAGGAAAGCAAACATACAGTATATTCCACTGCTAGCGGCTCACTCGGTTCGTTATCAATTTCCATGGGAATGATAAAATCATCAACACCAGTGCTAGCGAGAGTAGTGACGCCTGAGGGAGCTTGCGAGGATGATGGTGAAATCGGGGCCTGCTCGATGTTAGAATCTGATGAACTGCATTCCAACAGTTAGGTAGCACAGCTAGAAACAAACCTTCGTTTTCCTCGTTGTCACTCAAGTTAGTTTTGCAAGGCGATATACGTTCCCATGAGGTTTCCTCTAAAGAGATGAATGAGTTCAATTCTTTTTCCATTTTTCTGCGTACCGATTTCCTCGCCACTTAGCAGACTTCGGCCAAGATGGAGATAGTCCGGGGACGACATAGAGTCAAAATGATAACAGTGAGCTTCGGGTTAATACGATTCCTTATAAGAGAAATTTACTCACGAACTGTTTGCATATAATGCGACTTGCAGTGGAGAGCTTAATATACACTCTATCACATGATGTCGTTAAGGACCCCATGAGAACTTTCACGGAGGCTGAGTGGACCGCGGTGATATAGAGCGACTAGTATAGTTAAGTATAGTGACAGTAATGTTAGTGACAGTAATGTTAGTGACAGTATATAGTGACAGTATATAGTGACAGTATAGTGATAGTGATTAGAATGTTCTTATAGTATAGCGACACCTAGCATGGTATACAGCACGTAAATTATGACGATACTTTACTCCATATTCATATGGAGTGACATCGGCGACGCTTTCGAGTAGATAAACGTGGCTATGTACGATGTATTACTTCCTATAGGGGGAAGGTTCAATCAAGGACTATCATAGAAATATAACCGCAGAATGGGCCTGTTTCATAGGAGCAAATTGCGCTTTGAACTTGAGTAACTCCTATATTCAAATCGACTTTAATTGAGTATCCTTGTGAAACAGGCCTAATGTGGAGGTGGTATATGGAGGCAAATAACGCATCGTTATGCCCGAGCATGCGCTTTCGTGCCAGTGTTGATTCTCGGAATATACACTTGGATGAAATCGCCACTTCAACCGATTTTCTCCTCGGGAGAGATCTCTTCGGAGAACTGCGGTCCGGGAATCGAAGACTTCGAGCATAGTATTGTGTTAGCTGTCGTGATGAGAATAAATTCCTCGCGCAAGTTCTATGCGAAGTCGGTTCATGCGGTCTGTTTACCCAACATAGTCTTTCATAAGAATCCTCCATATGCAACGCTACATCCTACGCATGCTATTATCCTACATAATAATCTCATCAACTCACTTAGGCAGTTAACCGAACGAACACACGATCACGCGTTACAGCTGCACGTGCGCTCGCGTGCACGAAAACAACTTCCGCTCCGCTCGAGAAAAAATCTTCCTAACATTGGTCATCCTCTCCAGAGACTACATTGTGAATACTCGCATATCTACTAGCTGAACCGCGCTAGACAGTCTCAAACGACAACAACAACACCTCATGAAAAACCTGAGTACTTGTTTTATCGTTATCAACTACGTAGCCTCAACAGCGTAATCATCGACACTCTAAGGCAAGTGGCAATAGAACTACTCAGGGACACATCTAGCTTTGAGAGATAGCGTCCCCCATAGTTTGATAACAATGGGGAAAATGAAGTTGCTAATGTGATGATGACATTTACATGGGAAACTGATTGAAGAATGTGTTCCTAACCGTACGTGGAAAATTCAAAAATAGTTCCCCCCCGGAAACATTATAGATCCTCGAATGATTATCTCGATTTCTAGCAGTCCGTAGAGGTCTCATCCTGAAACACTTTTTTGTGCTACCTTTTCCCAGTTCTAGCTAGAGCACTGTCTTGAAAACTTTTTATGTCGGCGATTTTCGTGTTAGTGTTTTTTATTGTAGATTTTGTTTGAAGTTTTATATAGATATCAAGTACTTCTCCCAAAAGGAAATCACTATCATGACGTCAACTACTACTACTACTTCGCCGCTCGGGGACAATCTACTCGACGATCATCGATGCAAAGAGGAAGACTCTTATGGTGCCGATTTAACCACTACTAGCAATAGTGACATCGACCACTTGCCCGTATCTGTTTTTGGCTCGGAGCCCCCAGGGACCCCTCCCATCAACCCAACCATCGCTCCACCAGAGTCCTCCAGCAACTACTTAACGACTGACGGTGACACTGTCCCCGCACAGGTGAGAGTAAGTAGTCGTAGCTGTTGAGCTGATAACATTTTTAGGTCTACATTGGAACCGATGTTCTCACAGTGCATCTCCCTAAAGGTGTTTTACTAGCGATGAGCTTAGCAAGGGGTGAGGACCACGGTAAGTCGTTTTGTCCCTTTTCACTCGGAGTAGGACTATGATTATCAGTGTTGGAATATATGCTCACTGTCCTCAGCTGGTCATTGAAATTCAGGCAGAGGTGTATACAAGCCTATGAGAATCTCCTCAAATTTCCTACCAGAATTTTCACATGTGGTTGATCACGTGTAACGATAACCATTGTTTGTTTTTCAGGGAGTTTATCAACGCCGTACACTATCGAAGAGATCAATTCCGCGTCTATGCTTGTGCAAGAACTGACGAGAAGTGCTGGCCATATCGATTTTGAAGATCTTCTAAAAGTAGGCGGCGGTCTTGAGGACACGGAGTCGTCCCGGTATACCGATGGGAGCAAGCTGACGGTCGAGTCTCCGCGAGAGCGATTGCCTAGCATTAACGTAAGATTCGGGTTTCTATTTTATCTATTGGAGTTTCACCCGTTTTACGTGAAGTAGCGCTATGCAGTGGTCGTGAAATATACTTCTCACTATGGATTTTGATATCAGGGTGAAACTCTATTATTACGTATACGTTATGTTCTTGCTACATGTATAAAAAAATATGTCATATATCTTATGACGTTCATTACACGTCATAAAAATTAAAATTAAAATTAATTCGTCATTAAAATTTCTGACATTTTCTATAACGTTGCTTAGATACATCATGACGATCCTTTCTCCTCACCTTCGTTGACTTACTCTATTCCGAGCAGCAACAGCAGCAGTAGCCGATCTGCTGCTATTCCTGCATCAGCGCAGGTGGCGTCCTCTGTGATTGATACCTCGGCTATTGATCGATACACTAACGGGCTTTTGGGTGATTCGCCGTCCCCCAAGTTCAACAGCGTTTCCTCTAGCGGTAAGAAGTTAGTCTCCTCGTCCTTGTATTCATCAGTGTGTTCAGGAGTTCGGTTGAGCGGGTCTGTTGAGAGTTCGCAGCTACTCGGTGTTGCTGAAGGACGTAGTGGTCGGCGGTCTTCATCGAGTAAGTCGCGAATTGTGGTATTGTATATAAATATATAGACTTGATAATCTATTTTATTAAGGTATGTCCTTATATATGAATTTTATTGTGATCATGCAATTTCATCGGTTTTACTTGGAGTAGCGTAATACTCTGTGAGAAAGGCGATTTTCGCGATAATCAGTAGTCGTGGAATATATTTTTCATTGTTTACTTTTTCATATCACTGATCAGTTTATGATGATGAATCCTGTCTAGGTTTTGATTTCGAGCGTCGATCAACGTCAGGCTCGGTCGGCGGTGGCAATAGTCCGATCTCAGATGTGCTCAGAATGTCGCGGGAAGCGAAGGGCTCCGGTAAGGTTTTGTTTGTGTGCGTTTTTGATGTGCATCATCTGTGGTATCTCAGCTCGGCTGCAGGAGTATATGGAAAATGCAGGTGGGGAAGAAGTGTCGATGATAATTAGAGATCAGCTTGCGCCAAACGTGGTGGCGTTGTCGATGCATACGCATGGTTGTCGGGTTATTCAGAAGGCTATTGAGGTGAGTTATGTGTTTTATGTATCGTATTGTTGTGGAAAATCGTCATTGTGTGAACGCTGATTTGCGTTTTTTTGAATATTTTTCGATGATTTTAATTACCTGTTCTGCTATTTTTCATAGTGTCGTAGTAATACCTGTATCTCTGTTATTGTTTTAGGTTGGATCAGTCGAGGATAGTCGTTTCCTGGCTGCTGGCACTGGGCCGAATGTGCTGGAGTTGTGCGCTGATGTTAATGGCAACCACGTCATGCAGAAGTTTATCGAGTGCTTGCCAAGTGAAGAAGTTCAGTTCGTTGTAGACGCTCTCGTGGGGAAGGACGATGCCAGTAGCAAGGTAAGGAAAAGTCTGTGGTAGTTTCGGAATAATCGGGTGATTTTCGATTTAGTATTACATCGTCAGTGCAGTATGGGAAAATATGTATATAGTCAACTACTCGTGTTGGTGAAAATAGGAAAATTTTGGGCAAAATTTTCTTGATTTCTGCACAGTTCTACCTCAATTTGTATATCAGTTCTCATATTCAGCGAGAAAATTTGCGAGCTCAGCTGAGAGCAGCGAATTTATGTGTTGGGAAAAATTTGTGTGGTAGTTGTTATTCTTTTTGTGTAAAATTGCATTTCATGAGGACGGCAATATTGGATACGTATTAGGAATGCTTTTAGTCGGCTCATACGGCATCGCATGTACTGCGTTTATCGGTGCATTGTTACGGTTGTCGTGTACTACAACGACTACTCCAGAAGTGCGATATGAAGCAGAAGATACCGATACTTGATGCAGTTGTTTACGGGGTAGGTCAGAGGTGTGCGGTTGTGTAAGAGTATCGTCGTCGTTAGTAAAGTGTGTGCTGGAAGATTGATTTAACT